CCCCAGACCATCACTGACTGACAACCCTTCTCATTGTGCAGCGTTTTCTGCCACACTTTTTCTTTCCTCAGACTTCCCACTGAGGGACCTTGATACAGCACTCTGTGTCTCTGTCCGACCTCTGTATCTCTGAGCGAGGCAGTGACAGACATGCAAAGTTGAACGGATTGTCTGTAATTTACACGGATTTTCTGTTATTTTGCAGGATGTATAAAGCAATCTAATGGAATTTTTCATGTTTTATGGATTTTTTCAAAAACTCATTTTCAAATTTATTTAGCATGTCAGAGTCTGTAGGACGTTAAACATTTAATATCCACTTGCAACCCACTCTGCTGCTAGAAATAAGTTCCTCCGTCCTCACTTCCTTCTGATAATTGCTGCAGCCGACAGTCCTCATACAACATACTCATATCTGTCAAGAGAGTCAACCTAGTATAAAGGCATAGTATAGTAGTTCCTTGGTTAGAGATATTTTCCTATCAAACTGAGCCAGTCTACTGGCCATTCTCTGCTCAACTGTTAACCAGGATAGTTTATTATGCATCGTCTCTACATTGTTCTTCATAGAACAGTTCAAACTAGCAGCTCTATTCTGAATGAGCTGGATCTTAWGAACATYGTRTTTGGAGGCAGAGGATCATACAACTACATAATATTCCAAATGAGCCAGAACTAAAGCATGTACAAGTAGTTCACTGAAACAATCCATTGGATTCCACCAGTTATCCACTTATTATTCCATGCAAATATATAATATCTTGTTAAATTGAACTTATTTAGAGATCTGCAAGTTGTACAGTTATGAGGAGCACATGCAAAACACAGCTTGCTGGTGAACAGGAAACAGGAAGATTGTCGGGACCCCATAGAATTTACAGAAACTAAACTGAGATGGATTTTAGATGCATAAAACAACTCTAACAACTCTGCAACTCACTCAACGACATTGAGAACTCCAATTAACATTTTGAAACGTCCTGTTCACCAACTAGTCACCAACAGTTGTAGCTCAGTGAGGCACTGCCTTTAAAGTATTACAAATTCTTGTAATATTATTATTCCTGAAGACTTTACAATTCTCGTACAGTTTGTATATCTAAGTTTCCATATTTTTCAACTTAAATTTTTGCTGAAAAAAGTCCCAAATTACTATTTGGCTTCATAGAAGAAAGTTAATGGCATAGAATTATAGTCTGCATTCTACTGATTAAAATTTCTGCAATGGCACCTTTATGATTTGCAGATGACCATTGAGATGTATCCCAGCGACCAGGTTGCTGACCTGCGGGCCGAGGTGACCCACTGGTATGAAAACTTGCAGAAAGAGCAGATGAACCAGCAGGCTCAGCTGCAGGAGTTTGGTCAGAGCAGCCGGCAGTCTGGAGACTTTCCAGGTCAGTTTGTTAATTAGTTTTTGGATTGTTTTAAATGCGGAGGCAACAACTTAAGTTAAAAAGATTTGAAAGYCAATCACTTGTGTCTGGCGTCTGTCCTTTGACCTGCAGGTGGTTTAATGGGACCAGTTAGAATGATCTCCTCTGGTCATGAACTCACTACAGACTACGATGAAAAAACCTTACATGAACTGGGATTTAAAGACATGCAGGTGACTGTTWAGTTTCTTGTTTCTCTTCTCATCAGAAGAAACATTTAAAACAAATGTTTCTGGTCTTAAACGCCACATATTTSTGCATCATGTTTGTGTGTTTGATCACAGATGGTGTTCGTCTCTCTGGGAGCTCCACGGAGAGAGAGAAAGGGGGAGGGCATCCAGCTGCCGGCCTCTTGTCTGCCGCCTCCTCTGAAGGAGCACATTCCCATGCTGCTTCTCCTCCAGGAGCCTCACCTCACCACACTCTTTGACCTGCTTGAAATGCTGACCTGCTTCAAACCACCTAGTCCCAACACAGAGAAGGTTCAGGAGAGCCCAGAGGTGAGACAGAGAGATGAGGACATGAATTGTTGTGCAGTAACATAGGGCTGCCACAGCGAATCGATAAAATTGATAAAAATCAATTATTAAAAGCGTTGGCGATGAATTTCATTATCGATTTGTTGTGTCGTGAGATTTATGCGTGCCTCGCCATGTCGCGGAGCCGTTAACTTCACCTGCAGAGCGTTGTCAATTCTGGCTGACCTAAATAAAGTTTAGGAAGAAAGAAAAAACTCTACCTGTAAAGAACCGCCCTCTCTGACTCTCGAGTGAAAACTAGACTTCGATCTTAAAACCAGTTTTTAAATCGTGTTGTTAGGCCAAGTAGAGCCTGTGGTGGATCTAATACTTTTAAGCAAGTAATTCATGACATCCTTTAATGACCTAGGTTTTCATGACATTCTGTTCATCTGCAGACAGAATGATTAAAGTCAGAACAAGATTTGCTAACAACAGTCATTCTTAGATACAGTATCACTTGTTTTTATCTTTGTGTTTTCCATTGACCTTGTATCAAATCTTGCTAAGATGACAGAATGCTGTATATGAGGCCTCTCGAGACACAGAGTTCAACAGAGTTCGACAACAGAGTTCAACAGAAGTGTGGAGAGACTGACAGAGAAGCAGAGGCACAGAGACAGGCCAG